GGGGTAGTTTTTTTGTGTATGTATGTATGTATATATATATATATATATATATATATATATATATATGTATATATGTATGAAGGATCCAGAAATGTCCAAAAGCTGGCGGGAAAGGAAAGGGAGCCGGAAGTGGGGATGATCGAGGCAACACCACCCTAGGGGGTCCGAGGCATGCCCCCGTGAAATGTTTGTTTTTTACACAATAACCTCTAAAGTGTTTTGGGCGATCAATGTTTTCTTTTTCTTTCTTTTTTAATATCAAAAAGGGGGTCGGGGCTGCTCCCTAAATCCGCCCCTGCATATATATTATTAAGCAATTATTGCTGTGATCGAAGATGGATTTAAGACGTCATTCCTGTTTGCAATGTCTTTGTCAGGTACCCTTTAATGCTCCGTTTCCATGACTGTATATACGGTACGGTACGACATTTGTACATAAAACCAGTCTTCACGAGGGACTCGTTAAAACGCATGTTATATCAACAGGTCCTTTGTGAGTACTCTAGTGTCAGGTTAATGCCTCTTGAATTCCTTTAACCCTTAAAAGAAGCAACTCCATGAACTGAGATCACCCCGACGTGGTAATACTTTTCCAGAAATTTTGCATACTCCATCCCCAGAGCATATCGGTATACTTATGCCTATTTCCTTATTATGTTTGTTATTTTGATTGGAATTTGTGGGACAAATTAACTAAAGAAAACTATATAAGAATGATGAATCATCCATAGGCTGACTTTTACTGTGCATTTTTATTGTGTCGATGCTTTTGTGGTGAACGACTGAAGCAGAACAGGTAAACCGAGGTATGTTTAAGACGAGGTCCAAAGGTTGGGTGAATGAAAAGAACAACAAAGAATATATAAAAGAATCAACATGGCGGAAAATATATGTCAGTTTTCTGGGATATTTTTAGTATACTTAATGGCTACAGTTTGAAACGTGGATAGCACCATAATGCCATATGTATGTCAGAATTCCCCTAATATCTATAATGACTGACACTTTTTAGGGAAGTGGTACTGTATGTACTTAAATGAATGGCAGTGTATATTATGTAGCAGGTAAAACGCCTATTGTTGTATGTTTACACAACATTTTTCGTGATTAGTGAGGGCACGCATCAAGGATAGGCAAATTTAAGTCCTATAATCGTTACGGATTGCTAACTATAGTACGTGTTGATTGAAGACAAAAAAAAATTACAAAAAATGTCGATTTAGGTCTGAAATCTCGACATTAAGATTCTCGTGTAGTGGTGAAAGTATTGGTAGGAACAAGGCCCGACGTGAACGCCTTTCTTGCTTCTGGTTGTTAAGGATGGCTCGATCTCAATTGGTCAATGTGGGGTTAGTTAAACTGTAGTTTAACGTCTCTAAATTTTCTTTCTATTCCGTAGATAATCAATATTGAAAATGGGCGGAAAGAAGCACGGACCCGGAGGGTTGCATCGCTATGGTAATTTCTACGAGCCCACAAGAGGTGGAGCCGAACGAGATAGGACGGAATGCTGCTCAGAGGAAACCATGACGGCCACGTCTGTAGTGTTAGTAGTCATCGCCGTTATCTTCATCATCACCGGTATCGTCCTGCTCGCTCTAGGCTCGACGGAGAGTTTTTGGCGCCGTAAATTGCAGAAGGAAAGCGGTACGTACGTGGACCAGTTCCGCTACGGCAACGACGTACTCGACAGCAAGTTTACTGACGACGCCTATAGAGCAATCGGAATTACGATGTTGATCTCCGCAGTTTTAATGATACTTTTTTCAGTTTACCTGTGCGTGGCAGTATATCGTGGACGGAATCCAGCTGAAGAGGACTACCTGCCTAACCGAGGCGGCGGCGGCGGCGGCTTTGGTGGTGGTATCGGTAATGATATGCTCTAAAGTTTACCTTGACTTTATTCCAACGGACAGATACGGTAACGAATAGTGAAACAAAAATATTGATTACATGCGTATTATTATTTCCCGATCGGAAGTATCGCTATGCCGGATGTTGTCTCTGATGTACACCTTGAAGGACTTAAAGCTTTATGAGATAAACTTTGTATAGTTACTGGTATTTTCAATTTAATCCCTTTTTTTTGTATTGTCACGATTTTGGCATATTTGAAACAAAATGTTTAAACTCTAATTTCGCATAATTGTAATCACAACGGCTTCCGATTTTTGTATTTATTAAACAAAAACATTTTATTGACCGAGCACAGATGTTAATAATAAAGTACATAAATTAATCATAGAATCATTTTAATACATTTTGTTTGCTATAACCATTGCCGTATGTTGTATAAAAACACACAGGTCCTGGGTTCAATTTAGCTTAGATGTTTTTAAAACATTTTAGATTTACTGTTGCAGTAGTATTTTTATCGATGTGATTCGTTCTGAATAAAATATTACGATTTGCAATGATAGTACTCAAACTTAATGGTTGTGAAGATAGCTGTGGGATAGCTGTGGGATTGCTGGGGAGCTTTCGATTTGGATCAGTGGCTGCACCAGTGTGGTAATAGCTTCCCATCCCATCAGGCAAGCGTGGACACCCAGTGGCGTCGAGAGCCAGTAAGGGCCCCGGGGCAACACCTCACATGGCGCCCCCCTCCCCCTTTTCACTTGGGACCACCACTCGGCCGCTCCCCAAATTAAGTCTCCTATTTGTCCAAACCCACATACATGAATATGATTCCATGTGAACAAAAGTTTTCATCCTGGCTTGGTCCGGGGCCCGGGGCAGCGACCCCCCGACCCCCTCTCGACGCCACTGTGGACACCCGTCTTCCGACGTCACGACGAGGGCGGGGGGATTTGCCAATGCTTACCGTCGTTGCACAATCAAAAGCTCCCTAGTAACCAGATTAGGTCCAATACCTGTAATGTTAAGGCTTGAGTTGTATAGCGTATAATACAATGAAAGGGAATATTTTTAACTGCGACTACTCAGTAACTAAGAATAGATAAATCACATCGTATATTTATCACCTTGTAATGAGTTGTGACAAATGAGTCTTGTGGTACGCCCTGGTCAATTTGAGATTTTCCAGAAAACATATGAGTGATATTTTGACAAAATTGTTATTCAATGTTCCAAATAACAAATGTTCTGAGTTGCTTTAAATTAGTTGAAAGTGTTTTTTAGACACATTTGTAAGCTCTCTTTCAGAATTGATAGAAAACCGACCACAAAATGTATTAGTTGTAAATACCTTTAGTGGCGATTTTCTCTAAAAGTAGCCTATGTTTTCAGACTTCTTAATTTTAAAGTGATTAGACTTCTTAATTTTAAAGTGATTTTCTGTTGTACTCAAGCTACTGTAGGAACCTGATTCAAAGACCGAAATATAGCCTGTATATCTAAATATATCATTAACTCATTTTTTATTCCACAAGACCCATTTTGTAACAACAGCACACGTATTGTACAGCATTTTATATACTGTAGTCATTTGAAAGTTTTTAGTATATTTTATCAGAAGTGGATAATGATCCTCTAGACATTCCAGTTCATAATGAAGTTATTATTGTGTAGACGATCATGTTATATTATAACTTCATTCCGTATATGCCTTTGAAATAACACACATTTGGCTATTGCTAAAACTCCATTTGTACCGAGCTTATCCTTTTGTATTATTAAATAAAGACATATTTTGATACAGTAAATGTAAGCTTGAATCCGTCTGAAGACGTTTTATAATTTGATACGAAATCAAGGTTGGCACCGGCTCTCCTCGTCGGGGAGAAAAACAGAAATTCGTCGGGGAGAAACAAAATTTATAGGCCCTATGTATTTCTTACGTACCGTATTATTATCAGTAGATTCTATCTATAAAATCAATTAAGATAAGCCTTTGAAACCCCTAAATTGTTATATTTTGCGGGGGATTTTTTCGGTTTTCTAGACATTTTTACGCGACGTCCGACCACGTCCATTGCTCTCGTCGGAGACATCGACACCCCCCCCCCCCAATCGGGCAAATCCCGGCGCCACGCTTGAACGAATGTATCTGGGTGAGATTCATTATGTGAATGTAATGCTGCATATTGTAACCTATTATAATAATAAGTAATCATGGTGTCATACGGGAGGAATTAATAGTGAACACTAAAGCACTGTATTTTACGCAAAACAATCTGTGCGCATACAATAATCCATGATCGATAGTGAGGGAACTACGAAGTTTTATACACGCCTATTTTAAAATGCAATAAAAATAAACTGATTATATATATTTTTTTTTTTTGCGAAAAATAATTGAAAAGACCAGAAAGGGTTGGTGGTGGAGGGGGGGGGGGTTCCTTTTGTAACTGAGTTTATCTTAAGAGAAATGTTCACGTTCTGGTCATGACAGGGTGTTTGTGACAGATTGTGCAAAGAGTACCGTAGTTATCCAGGTAGCGTCACAGAAATCGCCATTCGTTGGTCATTTACAATCAGCGTAAAAAAAGAAGAAAATAATCACCTTTGAAAAAGACGGTGTTGTTCTATGGTGCGAGTGAGCAGTCGACAAACTACTGTAGGGGTTTGGGGTTTTGTGATAGGTGGGTAGGATGCTCCCTTAAATATTTTGTGTCCAGGTAGTTATTCCCCTAGAAACTCCCCTTTAGCCATTTAAAATTATGTAAATGATTTTTAACTTGGGATTGTTTTGTTTGCTATAGGGCCGGGTTGGGTGGGATAGGGTAGGCGATGTAGGGTTGGGGTCCTCCTGATTCGCCACTGATTTTAATACTGATATTGTACACTGAATTTCTTCTTGGCAAACATGCCCTACGAAATGCAATTGTTTGTTCCGTAGGTAGCATAGGCAATAAAATCTACTTTTTATTCATGTGACCTAACGCTGTCTCCCTTTTGAAAACGTGCTATTTTCTGTGTTTATTAGGCCTATATTATACGTTTGTATTTAGACCTAGTCCTCATTTTCATAATCATTAATACAGTTGCTTTTGAATTATTGGGTATTCTTTTGCAAAATTGCCTTTTGAAAATGTATTACTCTTCAAAATGTTTTGTTTTGCTTTCAAGCTATAGGCTAGTGTGTATAAAATCCTCAATTTGTCGAACGGATAAACGTGATGTCATGTCAATGTTCATGTGATGTGAACTTCCGCATATCTGTCAATCTGTCAAAGCACAAAAACCTGTTGTCGATTGAGGGCGCGAAGATCGTTGGGTTTTATATGTTCCAAAAATTAATACAGTAGTTTATATAATTGGATGACATAGCACAAATGATATTTTAAGAAGTAAAATATTATATCCATTACCGTATTTTAGACCATGATTGATTTGAAAGTTTGTCATTTTTTGCTTATTTTTATTTTCTTTCGTAATAAAGTTTTTTGTATGTAATATTTTAATTGGCTCGTACTTTCCAAATTTCTACACATAACGGACATAATATTCAGTGTATAGGCTAATAGTACTGTATACGGTATATATTCATTATTAATCAACCAATCAAAATAATGTACTGAATTCAACACGTACTTAACTTCCATCCATAAAAATCATGAATCATCATTTCCATCATGTTGGATGAATATACTATACAGTTTGGCATAATATTTTTCATTATGTTTTATTTCATCACCATCATCTGTTTTTGCCTACTGACTGGCAGGTCCACAGCATTTAATTTTCCAATTACATATATACCTCTATACAGTTAACTTTAGGTTCAACATATTAGTCTTCTTTATATAGGCCTAGGCCTACATATAATCTATCAATTATATATGTTTATAAATGATTTTATCATTTATAAACATATATAATTTGGGTTTTTTTGTACTGTACACAGATGGCCTCTTCTAATCAGCTTTGTGCTGTAAGAGTTACCCTCTGAAATATAGTATAATAGTAAATAAATAAATAATATTGTAATACTGAGAGCGGCAAACAACAAATGAGGGCGCTGGTTACGTTCTTAGTATGGTAACCACGACTCTACATCAAGCATGCACGAAAGACGAGAGTAAACCATAAACAAAACAAGACTGACCGAGTTTTGCTGTACCTACCGCCCTGGTCAAAATGAAATACATTTTTCTTTGTGGTAGGTGTACTGTATACCTTTTATTAATGATCTATTACTGTTTTTATTTAGGGGTGTTCCCGGTTTCGTCCCTGATTTTCAACCAACTCGTTCGTTTCGATGGCTGTCATTTCGGCAGTGACTTTCGATTATATGCCATGCGGCAAGCCTTCATTGCCATGTGCTAAGGTAAAAAAGGAGACGATGTGGCTGGTAGGTTGTTACCTCTTAGAAAGTGAATTTTGTAGGCCAAGAATAATATGCAATTTTCCTGAGAAAACACCCTGCATTGACGATGAAACGTCCCATTTGCAATGATGGCTCGCAGGCTCGAGAACAGAGTCAGAATTTTGACAGATTGTTGGTTAATTATGTAACCGTTAGAATAGATGTCAAAAAAATGGTACTCTAAGGTTGCTGGTTTTTGGTTTATAAAATATTTCTAATAAACTATTCCCTTTTTGCACATCTCTGCACTGTGACCCCACTGGTAATCTGGCTACTGATCTTGACTCCTGATGGCTGGGCCTGCGATCTTTAGACAAAAGTGCGCAGGAAATATTTCCAAGCAAAGGGGGGTCAACTAAATTTTAAATTACTGTAGCAAAAATAAATAAATATGTATATATAGCAAAACATAATTTATAATAATAATAATAATATAATAATAATAATAACACTTATATAGTGCACAATCCGCCTCAAAGAAAGAGTACGCTCACAGCACTTTTCACTATCCGAAATACTGTAGACTGCTGGGAAAGTAATTCGCTGAAGTTCATGCAAACTTCCGGAATTGAATCAGTGTTGCTGTTTCGATGTGGCATGTCAGGCCCGTAGTACGACATAATTTGTGGGAGGGCCGTTTCAGTGGAAGCTGGGACTCTTTGGAAACCATTAACAAAACCACAACACAGAGGTGAAAAGCTTAAGAAATGCTGACTTGGAATACTTCTGGCTTGTATGATCTCTGATACTCTGGAGAACATTGTAAATATATCTATGAATATCAATTTTTCGTTTTTAAATGCAGGCCTTCTCCAGTTTTGGGCGGTTCATCGTAAGGCACCTTTGAATCTTTTGTTTACGATAATACCATATTTAGCCTGGGTGCAGTAGGAAATTAGCGGGAAAAAAGTAAAGGAAAATTTATTTTTGGTTTTTCTGAATCAGTATATCATATAGTGTCTCAGAAAAAAAATCCCCATTCTTAGAGCTTGGGCAATTTTCTCTGCTCCAAAAGACTCCAACCAATGGCTGTATTCATGGCAGAGAGAAAGACTTCAGTGGTGGAGAAAGGTAAATCATTCTCTTCATATAACTTAATTCCCTACTTATGTTTTGGTGTGCAATCCTTTTTATTATATTGTTTTGTTTGCTTGCTACTCTGACCTTAATTTTGTCCAGCAGTAAACATTCTTGCCTGAAAAGATTACAAAACTATTGTTTTCTTCAGGTACATTGACCTCCCCTCTCCGAATTCTTCAGTTTACACTACATTCTTTGCTAAAGTAGATTGCCAAGCCACTTGTCCTCCATATCTCAATCCTGAACTATTTTGTTTCTTTTTTGGTTGGGGAGTGATAGATATGGTGTATACTTGGTTGGTACGCATTGAAAATATAAGATATCAATGACAAATAACATTATGCATAAGTATAATTTTCTTTTTTTTTTAATTTTCCAGTTACATCTGCTCACTTGTTCTGCTCATAGAGACTCTCGTATTTTGCACAATATAAATGAATAACCTTTAACCTTTATGTCATACTTTAAAAACTTGACTTTATTTTGCCCATAGTTCTCTGGCACACCATCGTTGTTCTCTGTGTCAGTTCAGGAAGATGCAAACACTGCAGACATTCTCTTCCAGTTTCCATGGGGTGTAGAGGTGATTGAGAGAATAGCTAACAGAGGAACTGGTTTATTAGAACAATTATACACAGAAACTAAGAAAAATATTCAGGTATTGCTCAATTTTTAAAGTATACTATTATTTATGGTCCATCTATGGCAAGTTGATTGGTCGTGCGGTTAAGGCAGGGGCACCTTAACTTAATATCGGCGCTGGTCCGAGCGGCATGCTTACCCATTGTTCTGGTGGTAGAACAAGTCTTCTCGGACAAGGACTATAAACCGTAGCCCAAGTGTACACAATAGGCTTGTGTGCACTTTAAAGAACCCAGTACATCATTTGAGACGAGTAGATGGTTACCCCAGTGTGCTGGACAATACAGCCCCTGTGATGGACAGACGAAAGTAGCTGGAGCTGGTTTTCCTGGTAAACCAAGACGCAAAGAGACCCTTAGGGATGTAGGAAGTTACTGAACGAGATGTCCACCCATCGAGTGACATGATATATCCACTACTATTATTATTAAATCATTGGCAGGTGTAGAAAGTGCATATTAAGTACCAAACATAATAATAACATAATATTTATTTATACTTGAAATCTACTGTTTCCTCACATGGTTTAGGTCTGCTTTATAAAGTTCAGTAAATATAGTTTTGAGGTTTAGATATTGGCGCTGTTTTAAGTCATTAGAAATTACCCTGGGATTGGAAGAGAAGCAGCTTCATTACGGAGTTACAGTTTCCTGGAAATATGACAGAGAAGCCTCAACATTTGTTGTATTTACACATTTTAGGGTAAAATTGGAAGGCGTTTTGTTACTCCTAATGTAATTGAGATGGTAGCTGGTCTAGATGCAGGAATGTTTGCCTATTTAGTTGAAGCCATCCAACAGAAGCAGATTCCAGATGCAAGTGGGAAAAGTATTACAAGAAAGGTAGGAAAAGCCAAAGCAGACGGAAAGCTAAAGCAGACGGAAAGCTAAAGCAGACGGAAAGCTAAAGCAGAGAAATTAATTTACTACTGGTGCTTTCTAGATACCAGTTGAAAGCTCTTTATTACTATAGACCAAAAATTATTAAATATTCATTAAAAAAAAGTTTAATACTACGCAACAAAACAAATCTAATTTAAACATTTTGGTTAATAGACTTGTATTTAGGATTGGATATTTTTGGTGTGAACACCAAGGAAAAAGATTTATCATCAGTATTAGTAATTTCCACTGGGGTCCTTCTGGTAGTGATTGAGCAGTACACCATATTGAGCTTGTGACCAATGGGATTAAATAAAATAAATCAAATTACATTAAATTACAATTAATATTTGTCTTATGATTTTACTTCTGTAGAATTTTACAAATAATATTCTTAAATGTTTTTATTTTTATATAGGTGTTGAGATTGCACGCCCGCTTGGCACCTATTAAACTAGCTATTATTTCATCGAAAGCAGATCGTGAAATTAAAGAGGTAAATACAGTATTACGCAATAATAATAATAATAATAATAATAATAATAAAAACTTACTATTCCAAGAATAATTATCAAAGGCGCAGTGTATGTTAGGAAGCAAAGCTGTTAAAGAAATGAGTTTTAAGTTCAGGTTTAAATGAAGTAATAGATGTATCAGAACTAATGTTGCATTTTAATGATGACGTAATATGGTTCTGTACAACATTTTGTACTGTATAGTGTAGTTCAATAATTGTGTACGGTGGTATAGAACAATTTTTATTGTTTACTATATTGTGTTGTACAATCATTTAATACTGTACAATCCTTTTGTATTTTATGCTGCTGTACAACCATGTTGTACTGCATGGTACAGTCATAATTTTTTGTGCTGTAGTGGTGTGTGCAGTACAGTCATTCAGTATTATACAGTAATACATACACTGCAATTCCATTTATTGCAATAGTAAATTACTGTTCCATACCTTCTACTGAATAATTTGATAAAAAGCTTTTGTAATATTGCTACTCAAAACGTATCCATTATTTACTTGTTTTCACAGGTGGCAGAGTATTTATCCAAAGAGTTTTGTCAGACTGGAATTAAAGTTTTTCATCTTGGTGAATCCCCACAATCAATTGAAAAAGAATTCTTTAGGTAATGATGATTTTTTTTTTTTTTTTCAGAAATTGATGATGATAATTGGAAAATTAAAGTTTACCCTTCTGGTTAGGTGTTTATTGTTACCCAGATTCTCTTTAATATGTTTAATTTTGTCCTTAATTTGTTATGTTAATGCTGTATCATAGTTTATGTTATACTCTTAATGATTAAAATACTGTTTCATATTTATATTTTAGTTCTATTATATTTGATTTTGTGTATTTTAGTTAATGTTCTGCTACTGTAATATAAAATGAATGTCCATTTTATGATTGATAGATCAAATGATATCAGTAGCAGTATCACAATATCAATATCAGTATCAGTATAGTATTTCATAATTATAAAATCAAATCAAATTGAACTTCGTAATGTAATGTTTAGGTTTGATGAGATGGGAATCCCGTTCTCTATAGTCATTGATGAAGCCACACTAAAGACTGGTATTACAGAAATTCGACACAGGGATACGACTATGAAGGTAATTCCAAACTATATGATATGAAATTAATGTTATTATTGTTCATAGTTTATTTTCATATTATGTTTACACAGTATGATTTTATCGTATATCACATCAGTAGGCCTAAAAAAGGGTAGGTTGTGTTTATTACCCTCGCCTGTCCGAAGGAGAGGTGAAGGGTATTGCAATAGAGTGGGTATGTATGTCTGTCCTTCCAGGGGTACGATGTTACACGCATCTCAGTCCTCTAATTTGGTGCTGATCGGAAGTAAGATGCAGATTTTAGAATGTTATTTATATACTTTTTGGCCGCAACTGACGAGCCAACTCGAGCGGATTGTTCGACTGAGTTGTTTGGCTAGGCCAAGCAGGCTCGAGCGTATCAACCATGTGTCAAATTCTGGCTGACGGACTGGAAGAAGTCCGGATGGCATGCAAACTTGCCTGATCGATGGGCTTGCCGAGACCTATGAAGCTAGGCCTCGTTTGGCAACTAGAGCAGATCGACCGTGGGCCATTATTTTTTCAGTACATAAATGTGGCGCAACAGGGCAAGGGTTTGTAATCTTAGATTACAGTATCATGTATATTTATTTAGTATAACATCAATGATAAACGTAGGAGAACTCACAGCATCATTGTGCTAAAATGCGTATGCGCGTGGTCCATGAATACCTAGAGGGGCTTATCCTAGCTTCATTTTCTCATTATTCCGCAATGACAGGCAGAAATGAACTATAGCATCAGGGTAACCCCATACTTTTCCAAATAATGTAGTAGGTTCTTTAAAGTGTACACTGGACCTCCATTTTAAGTCCGAGTCCGAGAAGATTTCTACCAACCGGAAACTGGGTGAGGAGCGGCTTGAACCAGCACCGATATTAAGACTGTAGTTAATGGCGCTCCTGCCTTACCGCTCAGCCACTTGTCTAAACTCAAAGAAATATCAAATAAACTTATAAACAGATGTCAATAAAACAGGTATCCTAATTGGATATCAATCAGTATTTATTACCGCAATATTCTACAATTTACAATACATGAGAATTGCGTATCAGTAACACGTACGCTTTTGCCTACAAGACACACAAGTAGTGCGTAACAGTAACAGGTATATTTATGCAAAATGTAAACTAAGTCCGAAAATGGACAGCCACAATAACAATGATATATCCCAGATACTAATGTTTCATATTGCTTAGCATCTAAATGTTCACAAAGCATCATAATTATCACAATTTATAGTACATCACTTCTTCTATGTTAAACCGGGCACTTTTTTCACACGGCGATCGTTGTCTGTCGAGATTTATGGAGAACGCAACGCTACAATGCGCGCACAACAGATCGTTTTTAAACAAGATCCGACAATGAGCAGATGGCATTGTGCTGTCTATAACTCACATGAACCGGGTTCGGATCCGTTGGTCGACAGTCGTACGACCATCATACTACGCAGTTTGTGTCCAGCTTTAGGCTCCAAACTATTAGAATATTTTGGAGTAAAGCTGAACTTTGTGGTTAAGGTGCTTGTCTTATAATTCCAATATCCTTTGTTCAAATCTAAGCTTTTCTTATAGTATATTATATTCCTAAAATTATAGGTGTCTATTATAGTCCTATGAAATAAGGGATTTTCTTGTGGTTGGTAGCACTTTATAAAATAATTTCATTAATTTATTACACTAACTGTTGCCAGCTGTTATTAAAGTCATGTAACTTAAACATGGAGATTGTCTTCATTACATGATGTAGTCTGGTCCCTGGATTACATGATGTAGTCTGGTCCCTGGATTACATGATGTAGTCTGGTCCCTGGATTACATGATGTAGTCTGGTCCCTGGATTACATGATGTAGTCTGGTCCCTGGATTACATGATGTAATCTGGTCCCTGGTTTTGTGTATGTTTTTTTCTTATTTATGTACATTATTCTTTTTCAGCAACAAGTTCACATCACTGAAGTTAAGGAGCTTATACAGAAACACTTGAATGCCTACTAATATGAGCTACAGCCACTTTAACGAAAATAATATCTTAATTTTTTGCTGTTTCATTCATTTGTCAATGTTACGGCAGTTGGTGGTAGTTCAGGGAATGAATATCTTGTGCTTAAACCATAATCTAGATAATAAATAACTGCGACATATATCCTCATGTAAGCTTGACAATAAATAGGTGCTATTAATGTAGTCCAGGTTTCAACCACTGTTAGTTTGCCAGTAAACGGACTGTGAATATTAAATATTCATATTTTATATAATAATATTTGTTTTGTGTTTATTATATACATTTTCAGTCATCATTCATATATATGGTGTCAATACTTACATATTACTTATGAGTAGGCCTAATTTTAACAAAAACCTCCAAATACAAATACAAAATTTATCGTTGAATAAACAATACAGTTCAATAGACTAAACTTATAGACATTAATTCTGAAATTATATCCGCAGTACACTATATGGTGAGCTTGTCTTTGTAAGCTCAAGAAAGCAAGTGATTGGTACTTTATAGCCATCGCCATCACTGCCGAGCAGTTTCCTTAAGCGCACGAAGGTGGACTTCATTGGTGCTATCACTCAGTGCAAGAAGTCTGCTTAGCTCCTGACGTTTCTGTAATTTAACATTAAGATCGTTTAATAAATAATATCAAAACAAACCGATTTGTCGAAAAAGAAAGTACATTAAGGAAATTTGTGCACATGATTAAAAGATATACATATAAGCATTGCTTTGAGACTGTACGTAACTAGATTATATAAAAATATATTTGGTTAATTGTTTTATTTTATACATTTATTTTCGTGACATCCAGCATGAAGTACACACGCCACATACATGATGGAATGATCCTTTATAAACGAAGCCCCCTATTGAGGCCTATGGAGTGGAGTTGTTTTTTGCTGTGACAGGAATTGAACCCAGGCCCCCGGGAATTGGAAGGCATGCATCTTAACCACTAAGCCAATCCACTCCCCTAGTTACCAGCTATAACGGAAAAAATTGCTAAATAACGGAATGTTAAGCAAATATCGTCCATAGTCTGCATATAACTTCAAATTTGTGCCTGCAAAAACCGCCTGTAATTAATTAAAACTGATATTTAATACGACTGATTAAGAAATGAAATATAAATAAATACATAGTTCTTTTAAATACACAATCCTAGACAGAGCATGGTGAAAATTTCTCCAACGATAGACTAAAACATGTTAACATTCGTGGCTTATCGAGGACATGTTACCCTACCTCCTGTAGTTCTTGCTGGTATGTGGCGGATGATTGGAGGTTGGTACGGTCTTGGAACGTATCCAAGTCGGCAATTTTAATTCTAATGTTTTCATCTGGTATTCTCAGAAGAAGAATCTAAAAAATATCAAGAATAAAGTATAACGAACTGTACAAAAAAGTAGTATAGATATACAATATTTTGGAAGCATTTACTGGCAAAAATATTGTATTTTATCAAAGATATTAAATCATTTCAGCAGCAGATATACCGGTATATTCTAAATTTAACAATATTTAGAGGTTGTTTATTTAGAAATTGCAAGATAATGGAATGAAGTCAAAAGCCATTTGTTGAAGATTTTCAATGAAATTTATGTAGAATTAAGTAGAGAAAGCGACAATATACAGCTGCCAATTGTCTAAGTCGAATTTGCCTAAACTCGAATGATTTCTAAGCCGATCTTATTTTGCATGCCAAATTGTTGTGTTTTCCATTAATTAACGATCTGTAATTCGAATTTTATCTAAGTTGAACAAATTTTCAATGGCATTTTGGATTTGACTTGTACATGTTCAAATATATGCAATAATTTTGCATAAAAAATGAAATTTAGATAATAAACGCATACTAGAAATTAAGACAGGATATATTTTCAGAGGGGAACAAGTCCATAAAATTAAAAGGACAAAAACAGCAGCAGGTGATTAGGAAGACAAAACAAATGGTCAACAAAAAGTAAACAAAAATATGTATGTAATTTGAATATATCCTTTCTTTTTACCTTTGGGACGAAGACGGTAATCAAAATTACTGAGGATCCAACGATCAGAAACATAGCTATGCTACCGTAGAGGGCATCATTGCTGATGTCAGTCATAAATACAACTGCTATTGCAACCACCGAGATGATGGATACGCAATATACAGCAAAAGCTATCTGCTTGCCTGTTATGGTGGAAGAAAAATAATAGTTTATCATTTTAGGAATATCCTTTCATACACCTTTTATGTAACAATTCAATTCATCATCACCATCGTATACAATAGCATCGTCTTCAACAATATCGTCATCTTCATCATCAACATCATCACCACCATCAACAATATCGTCATCTTCATCATCAACATCATCACCACCACCACCATCACCAATGTTGTCATCAATATCATCATTTTGGCTTACTTTCATTTAGAGCAGTTATTCCAATATTCCGTGTATCCCATGCAATAAAAACACCGAAGACCATTAAGGCGCCCTTAAAAACCAACAACAACCCAAACCAAATATTGAGATAATCCGACGAACATTCACCAGAAGTATATTCAAGTTTTAAATCGTTGCCATTTGCATCGTAGGTCATCTGAAAGACAGATTTACAGTGATTAATCTGAAACTTGTTTAACAATTGTATTTGTCTTCTTCAATCTAACAACCGTCTTTTGTTTAGTGGTTTTGTTTTCAGTAGACCTAAGTCTTAACAACGATAGTCTAGAGTTAACTTAAACTTACCTTAGTTTTAGCAACTGTATTTGGCTTAATTAGAACTTCAGTCCTAAACGTACTTGGACATAATTCAGCTTACCTCAGTCTTCTCTGAACAGAGAATGTTGCTTCTCCATGTCATAATATACACCAACAGCACTGACTAGAAAATTCAGTATTACTTGAGTTTTAACAACTAACCGTGATCTGAACTGACTCAACTTAAGCTCACTTCATTCTTCACAACCTTTTTTTTCTGAAATTCACATAAACCTACCTCAATCGTAATAACAACCGTCTGATCTTTACCTTAAACTTACCTCAGTTCTAACAATTGTACTCTGGATTTTCATCGGGTCGACCAGGTTCCAAGACACAAAGATAAGCAAATCGACAATTGTAAATAGGAATACTGAGAAAACGAGTCGCTTATCAGACAGATTCTGCAAAAGTAAATATATTTCAACTGTATCATGCAGGTCTTATGTATCTGTGAGCCAATTTCTGGCAGTCACACTCTACCTCAAAAATGTAAAATGTTAATAAATTATTATAATTATTTATACTACAGGCTTCAATATTGCTGTTTATATTATATATATCATGTACATCGTCATTCTTATTGGACACTTACGACTTTCTTGAACTTATTCACAGCAATTTTGAAGATCATGGAGACACGATAAGACTTCACGAACAGCCCTCCAAATGCTAGGGACACACTGATTGGTAAAATTAATGAGCGTACCTTAAAATGAAGGTACAGTAGCCGGTTAATTTAAATTTTAAAAAAAAATCTATAAATTTAAAAACGGTGACTATACTAGAAATAATTTGATATGTACTTTTAATAATTAATTTTTTATATATTGATTATTCTTGTCGAAGGAGTTAATGCTATAGGCTTAGGTTTGCAGAATGAGTTTTTGTAATTTTAAGACTACTGTAATAATAATTAACAAGACGAACGAGCAGATTATGTTCGTTCTTCTCAATATAGCTTAGAGTCTTAGTTGAAATATCAGAACAATCTACATTACGTAATCTTCAGCGTCATATAGGCAATGAGCAAGTCCAACAGCTCTTATAAAAGCCAGACTTCGGAGGAAAAAATGTTGATATGCTGTATGAATATAATAAATATCATTGAAGATGTGTTTGAAGAAATACAGTAAAACCCCCTCCTTTGTGGCACTCCTATTTTTTGTGACACGTACCTTTATTAAGGGGACACTTTTGATTATTATTACCTTGCAAAGGAAGAGTTTGCTTTTATCGTCCGCAAGTCCACTGTTTTCAGCGACCATCAGGATTACAGATATATAGCTCAGTATACAACCGACTGCAACTAGGCTGTTGAGCCTCCACACTGACATCTTAATCACCCTTTTTTTAGAAAAATACATTACATAATGTAAAGGGGAATTGATGGCGCTTGAATATAATTCAAAATTTTGTTTCAAGATTGACATATTAAGATATACATGCGTATCCTAAACATAAGACAGGAGAGTGTGCATTACCTAATTTCTAAATCAGCAGCAATTTGTTTGGTGAAAACTACTCGGTAGACTTAAATGTCAAACAAAATAAAACAACAATGATACCAATTTTACATATTAAAATTCCATTCTTGCGATTGAATTTGAAGTCGACAATTGACGGTGCTTCTTGGACAAAATTAAAGATTATGTTTCACGTGTAAACGATTTTTCATTTATAAAATATTCAGATTAGGTATCTAACAGCATCGATGAAATCCAAATTTCTTGTCTTAACCGAAAGCTTCATAATCATTTCAATTTTGCTAGAGAGTGTAAATGGAGCACATATTTATACATTAGACAGGAGACAAGAGAGAAAAAAAGTTCAGTCATTAAATCAAAAGATAGCTCCTGAATGGCTAAAATAATTATATCCCGAAGATGTCAATTTAATAACATTTTAATAATAACGGAAATTAACTACTGTAGATCAAAATTTGTCGACCAATGACGTATTTTAAATTAATAATTAAATAATATTCTTTGGTTCTTCATTTTGGATTACTTTATGATTCATATTTTTACCTATTTATCTTGCTTTTTATTATCTCAAAAACAACATCGACGACCTAGTAAAAAGTAAGTCTACGCAAAATTATTTAAATTTTTAAAATAGCGATATGCAAAAAGGAGAGAACTTATAGTGTTATAAAAAAACAAATAATGAAACTTTCTGGAGTGTCAATCAAAATTAGCAAGAACATCGACAATATTACGCGCTCGTCCCACAAATGCACGTGTGAACCAGTGTTTACGCCATTTTTTGTGGGACCTTAGCAACAGTATCCAAGGGGTGGAGCTTTGTGGAACGGTCTATTTTAAGTTTAGGGAACATTCTTTCAGCTCTGCGGATGCATTGTAAAAGATAGAAACTCACATGCAGAAGCCACTATAGGTGGTGAATGTTATGGATTGTTTTCTACAGTGTAGTTGTTGGCATAGACTAAATTTATCTAATGCAACATTATTTATGTATTTAGGATCATTACCTTCTATTTTTATTTATAATGTGTAACGTAAGCAAGACCAATGAGAGTATTATTCCAACGAATGACATTGGCAGTAAGGTGTATACAAGCCATGATGAAATTTCGGTTGCAACTCTTTTGATGATCACGCCATCAACTGGTGGCAAGTCACCTGCAAATTTTATAAAGGTGAATTAACTGTGTTAATAGTGGTTATAGAAAAGGCTGAATTCTGCGATACACTCGTCAATCAATAATTTAAGTAATCACCTTTACTCTGAAACAAATCAGTATATACACGAAAGTACACTGTAAAATCCTACAATGGAAAGATCATTCTGACAAAACAAATTTAATGAAAACAAAATAAATCATCGAAGGATTTCGAAAAACCAAAAAACAACATAAAATTAGTTCATTTCTACTTGTAGACATCATGGCAATTGTGTAATAAAGTTAAGCCACATTTACACTAGACACGATTACGACGCGACGACACGATCCCAGATAACAATATTACGTTATAAGAACGTTATAATAACGTTACAGTTAGGTGATAAAAACGTTATTTTGTAGAATCATATGTACGTACTTATAACCTAATTTCACAACCTAACAACGTTTGAACGTTCTTACAACGTTGTGCGAACGTTATCAAAGAGTATAAATAGTATTATTTATTTATACTCTGACGTTATTTAGTGACATTTCTAGCCACAACGTTCTCGAGCGTTATAAGAACGTTTTGTGTTTGATGGAAATTAATGTTCAATGTCATCGTTTCTTCAAGAGTATTGTTATTTGCCTAATATGTTGTTGATGATGTATTAGGCTGGTAAAATAAATGTAGATCTCTCTCCAATTTAATAGTAATTACAAATTGAAAGATACGTGTAATTAGGATGTATTGTATGATCCATTCTGCTTTTAAAAGCCATTAGATTTACCAACAGGGTAAACACGGTATAAAAATTGCTTTAAAAATTTGAATTATTTGGATATCTGCTTTGATAATAATAATAATAATAATAATAATAATAATAATAATAATAATAATAATAATAAGAATAAGAATAAGAATAAGAATAAGAATAAGAATAAGAATAAGAATAAGAATAATAAGAATAAGAATAAGAATAATATTATTTATAAAGCGCAGAAATCCACTGCAGTAGTGCTCGAGGCGCTAAAATTGACATGGTATAATTGTATACGAATTGGCCTCCTGATAAGCATAATATTAACTAAAATTTTAATTATTATTCATATTGTAAAGGCGGTTTGGCGCAGTGGTTTTTATGTCTCGTGCGTGGGAGGAGAACACGCACTGTCTGTTTCGCCATCGCTTCAAGGTTATTGCTATTAATTTTCCTAATAATCATGTTAAATATAAATTCAGCGCGTTTACAAATTGAAAAAAAAATACGTGTAATCATGATGTAATGTGTGATTCTATTGTAAACGTCATTTGCGTTACCTCCAGAGTACTTGCTAATAATAAAAATGATGAATTTTGTAGTCTTATCTTGTATGTGCTTTTGAAAGTTTGAATTATTTAAAGTGAACATAATGGGGTTTTTTTTGACGATGCATTGCATTATAATAGGCATACTGATAATATAATTTAAAATTATAATTATTATTCACTGGGCGAAAAGCTGTTGGGCCCATGTATTTTCTATCCTAAGCAAATAAATATTAAGGATTGTGTGATTATAAACCATAGATCAACTTTTATTTTCACACCAATCCGGGGCCCCTTTGGACTTAGACTTGCCACGACTTGCCACAATTCTCTTATTTTTTATTATTTTTCTCATTCTGGACAGCGCCACCAACGAGAAAGTTAATTTAGAGACGGAATAAAAGAAATCGAGTATGGGACGCCAATTAAATTAGGTATGGCGCGCACTAAGTGCAATAAAGAGTTATGTTTCATCAGTTTCTACTATATTTAGCATGGTAATTTTCTGATAAATGCTTTACAAGAACTTTACATTTAAAAAAAGAGGGGCATACGCCCTCACTCATTTCGCCACTGATACGCCTGCCAAACAACTCGGAAAACACTACCTTTCCATATGAACTGCCGATCCATTTCAATAATGACATTTTCTCGAGGGTTGTGGACCATCACTCTCTCCAAGTGACCATCTGAATGAAAATGAGATTGACATAGGCCTACATGTTTAATTTGAAGAATATATTTGTCAAATTAAAAAGATATACATTGGTTCATTATGCCAATATGGGATGTTGAAATTCAGAAATGCATTCACATAGTCAATGCAACGTTTCATGGTAACGATCATATAGTACCTTGTACTTGTTCCACGACCACGTCGGCTTCTCTGCTTCCAGCATCCGAAAACCTCACAGGTCCCTAATAAAATTAATTAGATCTATCAGCGTTTAATTTTTTTTTTAAATAAATATTTTATATGAAGAGCGCACATGTTTACATGTACATTTGTTCGCCTGCTGACTCATTCCATCTTTTCAGATTCAGATTCATATTCTTTCGTTCTTTTGTTCTTTTGTTCATTCTCTTGTTCTTTCTTTTGTTCTTTTCGTTTATTCATTAATTCTTTCGTATATATTTTTTTTTCTTAAATCAGTCACTCACTCGCCAAATGTTATTTATCGAGCTCACATACGCAATCCAGCATAACTTTTATTTATTTGCGTACCATTCAAATCACAAAAATCAAAATATCTCAAAAAAAAAAAAAAAAAAAAAAAAAAAAAAAAAAAAAAAAAAAAAAATAA